GATTTGTTGTTGGTATGATTATTGTCTCACTCAAAATGGAATAATTTTTCAATTAGAGAATCGAGCTTTAAAATCTTTTTGGTAATATTTCCCTTTTTAATTGACAGTTCTCTGATTATGGAGTTTTCGTCTACGTCACCCACACTATCGCCGTTTCTACCGAACTCTTTCTTTATTGCATAGGTGGCACTGTGATCATTGAGTTTGTGAGTGAGATGGAATAAACATATAACATTTTTATTATAATGCCTCTTTTCTGGCTTTCATTTAGAGTTCTGAACTGGCCACCACGGTCTATAGCAGTAAATGGTACACGCATAGCGTACGAGTTCAGAGAATGGTACTCCTCATTATTATACGCGCTCAACGTAGCTTGGTGGTGAAAGTCCCGTTTTTTGCGCCATCCTTACCCACATTGACTTCGGTAAGTTATTTACGTGGTTTAAAATTAAGAATATCCACTTTATTTCTAATCTATGCTATGGATAATTGACTTTTTTCTTTCTTCTTATACAGATTCTACGTTTTACAGGCTCTTTGATTGCCTTAGTGAAGTCGATGATTTAAATTGCCTATATATAAAATATAAAATTCTCTAAGCCATATTCAACAATTTTTATCGAGCTTGAGGCCGTTATTTAATGAAAAACTACTGTGGAAAAGCAACAATAATTCTTTTGAATTTCTGTAATGGAAGAAGAGGAGGAATTTGCCGCTGGGACCTTGTTCTTCTGCACGTTTGGCTGTAAAACTTGGGCTTATAAATAAATAATTGACATTATCTGATGTAAAATTGATATTCGTTCCATCTTGTACATTAACTTCGACAAAACAGGTCTAGCAAACAGGTCTAGTTGCCAGGAGCACCTTTGCCAACATTCCTATACCAACGGATCTTTAACCACAACCTTCCCAGGTGTGTCCGCCTTCTTCTCGCAACCGCATCGCAGTCGAAAAGAATATGCAGAGGGGTTTAAGCTGTCAGGTCGCAATAACGACATGAACCGTCTGCACTGATCCCCAGGGTATTTATATGGCGGATCGCAGCCTGCGGTGAACCGTTAGTAGTCCTGCTATAAACCTAAGGGGATTATTTAGTTTCCTAGATCTTTTGAAGTTGTAACTTCTAAGCAGTTCTTTCGCCTTCCTTGGTCAAACATGTTCCCCAAAAAAAATGGGTTCTACGAGAGTAGATTATCTCATCAATACCCCCAACCTGTCCATTACCATACTCGTTATTCCTATTATTTGCGTAAATAAGGGAGAAGAGTCCCACTACTTAAGACGGGGAAACCAGCCAACAAGGAGTGCCACACCACCAAAATTTATTAAATCCTCAATTTCGAACTTACACCACAGAACTCTTTACGGAAAAGTTGAAGCGGAAGTTCTCTGAAGTAGCAAAAACGACAAATGATTAAACCATTTGTTGAATATCCTAGCAAGTTTTTAGGAATCCTTCACTTCTGCTCTTTCGCAGACATAGGCATCAGCAAAAAAATGCCATCAAATGTGCTGCTCCTAGGAAATTACGTGTCTCGNATATCCTAGCAAGTTTTTAGGAATCCTTCACTTCTGCTCTTTCGCAGACATAGGCATCAGCAAAAAAATGCCATCAAATGTGCTGCTCCTAGGAAATTACGTGTCTCGCGTCATCGTCTTTTTATGCGATATAACAATTTATGAAATAGCACATTGATTTTCATCCGCCTACTTTTTATGGCTGCCCAAGCCATAAGCAACCAAACACATAGCCTAGCCATCCCTCCCAGGCGGGCGCACACTTATCCGGCACAAACGGCGCTAACACACTTTGTAAGTACTCAGTGGTAATTTGCTTTTTTTTTTTTTTTTTTTTTTTTTTTTTTTTTTTTTTTTTTT